GTCACATAGTTTTGTTCTAAGTAGAGTTAACCCTTGAACAACATGGATTTGAACTGTGTGGCTCCACTTATATGCAGATTTTATTCTGTGTCTGCCACCCCTAAGGTAGCAAAACCAACGCTTGCTCCCTATAAGCATACTCTTTGTGAAGATGAACAGGATGGAGACTTTAATGATCCACTTCCACTTAATTAATAGTAAATACATTATCTTTTCCTTAAATTTTTCTTAATAACATTTTCTCTGGCTTACTTAATTATAAGAATACATCTGGGACAGATAGGTGACAGTGAAAAAATTATATAATACGTATAACATAAAAAATATCTGTTAATCACCTGTTCATATTATTGGTAAGGCTTCTTTTCAACAATAAGGTATTAATAGTCAGATTTTGGAGAGTCAGAAGTTATATGTGGATTTTTGACTGCATAGGGTTTGGGACCCCTAACCCCTTATGTTGTTCAAGAGTCAGCTATTGTGCATGGGATTTTGGTTTTCCTATGTTGTTGCTCTGTGTGTTTTTATGGGAATTTGAAGAGCTCAAAATAAACAATTGTGTAGCCACTACCATCTTCTCAGAACCCTTACCACTAGTTTTTATGGTCCCTTCTGTAGTCCCTTCTGTGGTCTCCTCCCATTCCATCTCCTTTCTTCTGCCTTCAGAGGTAACCATTATCTTTAACTTCATGATGCCCAGTGAAATAACTAGAAGCAATAAAGTGCTCATCCACAGAAGAAAAAAGATGGGTATTAATATAATGGCATTATGTAATAGAGTTTAAGAATTACTTTCCTAAAATAAATCTCTTAAGCATATACCAAGAAAACAATGTTGCTTATGTACAGGTATATACAAGAATGTTTCTAGAAATGCTATTTATGATAGGGAAAACTAGGAACAACTCTGTCAATGGATAAATTATGACACGTTAATTCTGTTATGGTAAAGACTGGTGAAAATTAAAATTATAACCACATATAATAAGAATAAATCTCAGGAATAGAACTTAAACAGAAAAATACATATGATTCTATTTATAAAGCTTTCAAGAACTGTATTGTTTATGGATATAAACATATGCTAAAACTACATAAAAAAGCTAAGATTTGTTTTCAGCATTATGTTACTAAGATTCACCTGTGTGTTTGTATGTAGCCATAGAACATACCTTCCTTCTGCTGTATAGTCCATTATATTACTATCTATATTTTGTTTGTTGATAGCATTTTTATTAGTTCTAGGTGTTCTGTTAGGCATTATAAAACAAAAATAATAGCAATTACTTATATAGTGTTTATTGTGTGTCCCAGACAGTTTTTCTAAGTGTTTTACTTATTTCACTTAAACCTAAGGAGAACTCTTGTGAATTAGGTATTATTTTATTCAATTATATGTTAAAGAGCATGTAATTGAGGCATAGAGGGGTTAATAACTTGCCTAAGGTGTCACAGGTACTGCGTAGTTGAAGCTGGGATTCAAACCTGGGGTATCTAGTCCTTTAATCTGTACTTACATAGTATATTATTTTGTACTTTAGAAACAGGAACGTTATTTCTGTTCTCAGAGATCCTTAAATATAAAAAATGATGCTGTCTTAAAGACTTAGTATATTTTTACTATTTTCTTTTTTACAGTTTCCATATTAAGAACAATCTGTTTCATTTGATTTTAATATGAGAGATAAAATGGTGTTAGAAATGTTTTTAAACAAGCAAGCTTTAGTATAATAGCTCATAGTGTATACATCTGGAAATTAGCACCATCTACTGGCAAAGAGAAGCAATAACTTGGTATGTTAAAGTATTGTTTGGAAGACAGCATACACTTTCACAGGTTTTTCCTTTTTTTTTTTAAAGCTGTTTCTGGGGAAATTAATATTTTATAGTTTTTAAATACTTTTGTGCCCCAGTTTATTTTTTTTAAACGTTCAAGTATCAGTTACTATATATGGCACATTTGTGTAAATGAGACTACATTTAGATGAGAAAAAAATACAACAAAAAGTATCATTTGATAAGTGTCATTCTGTCTATTTTTCAAAGCATGTACAAAAATTTGCAATTTGTTAGAGTGATAAGAGCAAGAACAAAGCTGTCATATTGGACTAACATAAACTATATTTAGTTTATCATTGTGTTTTGGCTTAGTTAAGTGATACTGTCTTTGATAGAGGAGTGGAATTGATAGAATGAAAACAGAGTTAGTTCTCAGTGACTAAGCCTGGGAAGCTTCTCTCTGTACAACTTTTTGTATTAACCTAAATTCTACTCTCTCTTTTTTTTTTTTGTTAATCAATGAGAGCTTCTTATGTTGCTCAGGTTGGCCTTGAACTCATAGCCTCGCCTCTGCAAGCGCCAGGACAACTGGCCGGAGCCACCACGGCTCCCTCTACTCTCATTTTTACTTAAACTGGTTGAGATTTCATTTGTTAGTGGTCTAGGATCTTGTGTGTATCCCGTTTGAGACTTTTAGTCTTTTGGTATTATTTTCTCTCCATTAACTTAACCCTATACAAGTTAAATGTATGAGAAATCAAGTGTTTTCTCATTCCATTTCTTCTTTCTTTTTCCAATGCGTTTTCTTTAGGCACGTTACAAGTTAAAGTTACCTTAGATACGACAATTTTAGTTAAAGGTGAAATTATGTTTACAGAAGAAGTTATAAGGTGATTACCTAATAAGTGTTGGTTGAGGGATTTATTAAAAGAATTTTAGAAAGCTAATTTGTAGTGGGAGGGAGAGTAGGGGAGGGATAATGTGGGGAGAAATGTCAGGTATAGGTGATGGGGGGATGGTGGCAACACACTACTTTGCCATGAATATACCTATGCAACAATCTTTCATGATCTACACGTGTACCCCAGAATCTGAAGTACAATAAAAATAAAATTAAAAAAAAAGCAAATTTGTTATAGAGCAGGAATGGTTTTTCAGGATGGCATTGGTCTGATATGTTTACTTGTAAGTCTGCTGAGCACAATAAACAATTGTACTTTTGCCCTGTGCCTACTGAACTCTCAAATGTAAACAGTTTTTTGGTTAAAAAATGTTAGCTTATTATAGGTATGCTTTAGAAAGATTTGATTAAATAGAAGAGTTGCAGTGATTGCAAATTTTATGTCTTATGCTATAATGTCACATAGCTGAATGTAAAAGTTGAAGATTGCTGTTGTAATAATGTAAGTTTTTAACTCACGTTAAGCTTAGGTTCAGTGTAAGGAATGAAAATGAGGTCAGTTGTAATATCCTTTTTGTTGTTTTTTGAATATTTTACTTTTGGGCAGTAAGTACTGCTAAGGTGAAAACAACTCCCCCTTAATGTAATCTATAATAGATACAAAAATATTTTTATTTTATTAAAAATACATTTAAAAATTAAGTGTATATACTGTTCCTGCATTACCTAACCAACTTCTTAGAAATTAGTCTATGTTCAAAGAGAGAAGTATACAGAGGCTTTCAAATTTTCAAATTCATATACATTATATGAATGTATAAAAATTTTAAATCAAACTAGTTGTTTTTAAAATCTTATATAAACATGTAAAATATGAAAGCCATACAAATGGTTTTCAGAAATCTTTTTACTACTCTCAGATAGTTTATTCTTCTTTCTCAAACTCTTTCATTATCAACTAATTCTTTGATTTGATGTATTTTATATTTTGTCTCCATATTGACTGCTAATAAATGATTTAATTCAGGGCTACTTTTCATCATGCTGAGTTTTAGGTTAGAGGGTAACAAGATGAATGATTCCTGTCATCTAAGAACTATTATAATTTATTATGAGCATTACCACCTTTATTTTATATTATAAAGAAAAATTTATAAAGAGCTATTTCTAGGCATAGGAACCAATTGGTTTTGTTATACAGAGCCATCAGAATGTAGTCTGAGCTGAGATGATGAAATAAAACAAAACTCCCAAAGTCAATGACTATGGTAATATCTGAGTGGGACCTTGAAGAATAGGAAGGAATTGGTAAGTGGAAATGAGGAAGAAAGGTTGCTTTAGGCTAAACAAACTATTGTATCTTTTTATTTAGTTGCTGAAGCAATATTTTGACAAACATTTTATATTTCATGGACGTTGAAGAATTCTGACTTTATGAATTATGAATTGCAATAAGATTAATAGCTTCTTTTAAAAGAGATATATTCTTTCATGCCATGAGTTTTATATCACCCCATTAAAAAGAAGATATGTTCTACTTTAAGCACAAAATTGTCTGCCAGAGTATTTTGGGAATGGAGCAAAAAAAGCAGTATGTTTTCCAGTAGATCTTACTGCTAGTATTTGAACAGATGCTTAGAACAAATGAAGTTTAAAAAAATAATTTACCAGAGATGGGATGAATTATTTTTAATCACAATTTAATTTGGTTAAAACTTAAACTTAGTGAACTAAATTAAAGAACAAGCTTCAGATTCTTTCAACTGTATGGAAATATATTTTTTCATAATATAAATCTGCCTCCTTATGAGCCATCATGTATCTTTGTATAGATTACAGTTTATGAGCTGCACAGTGGGGCACAGGTGAATATTTTAGTTGGGTTTCAATTGTAGCCCTTGCTGTTACCAAAGGGCCTTTTCTGTAATTAATTTTCCCAGAGGACAAATACACTGTGTAGGAGTCCCTATCCCTGGAATGATTATTCATTTGTTTGGTTACTGGATTCAGCAGTTAACTTCTAGAATGATATAGGCACCAATTAAGAGCTCACTAAATATTTCTTATATCTATAAAGTATTCGGAAGTCCACAATTCACATTCTCCTCTGATCATGACTTTTTGTCAAATGACATATGTTTCATGTGATTTGAAAAACTAACTCCCTACCCAAACAGTGGTTTTATTAAATTCAAGTTAAATGTTTATATGGAAAATTCCATTTGTTGTTTTTTGCCAAATTGTTATTGCTGTTAGGTTGGATTGTAATTTGTTTTTCTGATGCCATTCATATATTAAAATGTTAAAATTTTATTTTCAGGTATATTACATTTTTTTGCCCACATGACCTAGTTTCTCAGGGGTATTCACATCTACCTGTTCAACTACTGGCTTCAGGAATGAAGGAGGTGACCAGAACTTGGAAAATAGTTGGTGGAGTCACACATGCTAATAGCTATTATAAAAATGGCTTGATAGTCATGATAGCTATTGGATGGGCTCGAGGTAATATTAGCAATATGTGTTCATAAATACTCTCTTATTGGTGTATTATTAATACCGTTACTGAACAATTCTCTAGTTACATTAATAATATTTTAATAACAGACTTCTGGAAAGTAAAAACCTTGTTTCTGTTGGCTGGTACGAGGCATAAACCATTATTTAGAGCCTGTCTTATAACAGAAAACTTTTATGATTGGTTTGATTAAGATCCCCAGAACCAGAAAGATCCCCAGAACTTGGTTTGATTAAGATCCCCAGAACCCGAAAGATTTATAGTTAATTAAGATATAGTGCCACTGTAAATAAATGTTTACATAAGAAATTATGTGGGACATGTGAATAAAAAATATTGCTCTTTTCTGTGTTTTTTTTTTTCTTTCAGAATTACTAGAAATAGTAAATATGATTGACTGGGTTCATGATCACTGAACTTTGCATCACTTGCCTTTTTGTTTTGTATGTAGGAATTTAACTAATTTCTCTAACCTCCTTTTACAATATACTGTACCTATAACCAGTCATATTAGGAAAGGAAGTAATAAAGCAGAAGATTTTATTTTTCAGTTCTAAAATGAACCTCTGGCCATACCTTTGTGCCTAAGGTCCCAATTTTAACCTTAATTACAGTACAGTAGTAGACAGTTGCCCTGCTGGCGAAAGAGAAGAATTGCAGTTGTTTTAGTACCCTAAATATACTAGGCAACTTTCTTCTTCTTTCCAAAAATTACATTTTGGGAATCCTCTTAGAATTTTTTATCAGGTGATAGAATTATGACTCCTTTTAAATATTTTTTTCAAGAAAATTTGGCTAACTATTTTTGTTTATTTTTTTATTTTTAGGTGCAGGTGGTGCCATTGTAACAAATTTCGAGAGGTTGGTAAAAGGAGATTGGAAACCAGAAGGTGATGAATGGTTGAAGATGTCATAGTAAGTTGATATAAATTATACTGAGACCTAGATGTTTATCCTTACATCTTACCAATTTTCTTTTTGAGAACATTTTGGGGACTTTTAAATGTGGATGGAATTTAGCTGAAAAAATAAATAGTAATGATAATGGGAAGAGAACTAGCACATTTTATTCTTTTAAAAAGTCTGCTCTCTCAAATGTAGTTTAAAACATATGTTTTCCTTCTCTGTGGGTTTCTCTCCTTAGAAAACAAAACCAAACAAAAACCTCTAGATTACAGTAGACTTGTGGGTAGAGTATATATTTAAGAAGTGAAAACTACATCGGAATAGACATCTCTGGATGGAAATGAATTGGTGATAGGCTCTTGGCATTTTCATTAATGTCTATGACATCCAGATTTCAGTTTATATACATAGTTTGTTACTAAAATATCAAGTTTATGGAAACAAATTAATACATTATCATAAAGTCCTTTGAGTTGCTTTAAAAAATGACAGTTGTGCTCAATTACAGATAAAAATAAGAGAATGATTAGAGAAATAACCCATTGTGTGATGCAGACTGCCTTTTGCATCTATTTAAGAAAATCTGTTCTCTGAAGACACTGACTCAGTCTTATTTATTAATTTTTTTAAGAGACAGATTCTCTTTCTTGTCACCCAGGCTAGAGTGCAATGGTGTAGTCAGAGCTCACTGCAACCTACCTCTTGGGCTCAAGTAATCCTTCACTTCAGCCTCTCACATATTAATGGTTGGTACTACAGGTGTGTGCTATCATGCCTGGCTAATTTTTTATTTTTTATTTTTTTTTGAGACAGGGTCTTGTTCTGTCACCCAGGCTAGAATACAGTGGTGCATTGGGCTCAAGTGATCCTTCCATCTCAGCCTCCTGAGTAGTTGGGACTACAGGCATCTGCCACCATGCTCTGCTAATTTTTAAAATTTTTTGTAGAGACAGGGTCTCATCTCACTATGTTGCCTAGGCTGGTCTTGAACTTCTGGGCTCAAGCAGTCCTTGTACCTTGGCCTCCAAAAGTGCTGGGATTACAGATGTGAACCACCACACCCAGCCAGTATTTTTATTTTTGTAGAGATGGGGTCTTGCTATGTTGCCCAGGCTGCTCTTAATTTTTGCCTCAAGTGATCTTTCTTCCTTGGCTTCCCAAGGGGCAGGGATTATATAATGAGCCACTGTGCCTGGCTGGACTCAGTCTCTCTTTTTTTTTTTTTTGAGATGGAGTTTCACTCTTGTCGCCCAGGCTGGAGTGCAATGGCATGGTCTCGGCTCACTGCAGCCTCCACCTGCCAGATTCAAGCAGTTCTTCTGACTCAGCCTCCCGAGTAGCAGAGATTACATGTGCCCGCCACTACGCCTGGCTAATTTTTTTATTTTTAGTAGAGGTCGGAGTTTCACCATGTTGGCCTGGCTGGTCTCAAACTCCTGACCTCAGTTGATCCACCCGCCTTGGCCTCCCATAGTGCTGGGATTGTAGTCATGAGCCACTCTGCCTGACCAAGACTCAGTCTTAAAAAAGTCACAGATATATTTCTGATACACTTAAAAATGAAGAAGAGAAATATACTTACTGTTCTCATAATTCAAGAAGGAAAAGACTTAGAGAATGTTATGAGGAAAGACTTAATATAAAAATAAGCTCATTTTCTAATTTAAATTGGATTAAAAATAGATTATAATGGATTAAAAATGAAGGTTGAGGCTGGGCAAGGTGGCTCATGCCTGTAATCCTAGCACTTTAGGAGGCTGAGGTGGGCAGATAGCCTGAGCTCAGAAGTTCAAGACCAGCCTGGGCAACATGGTGAAACCCTGTCTCTATTAAAAGTACAAAAACTAGCTGGACATGATGGTACATACCTATAATCCCAGCTACTTGAGAGGCTGAGGCACAAGAATCACTTGAACCTGGGAGGCAGAGGTTGGTATGAACTGAGATCACACCACTGCACTCCAGCCTCGGTGACAGAGCCAGACTCTTGTCTCAAAAAAAAAAAAGAAGGTTGTGAAAGGCAGTATGAGTGACAAAGTACATTTGCGTGAACTAACAAATTCCAGGATATTGGAAAGTACCCCTTTAAGCTTGAGTGAAGTAGTTAGAAATAGAACAAAAGAGGCTTTGATTAAAGATAAGTTATAAATAAGATATTCATGATATTCAGGGGAGATTTTTCTCATTTTGAGTATATGGCTTGAAACACCTTCCATAAAACATCTTTTTTGGCTTTTATAGCTAAAATCAAATTTTGTTTCTACTTTGTTCCAGACCTTGCATTGACTCCTCTAAATGGTCTATAAGGCCCTCCAAGGGGTACCTTTCCTCCTTTCCAGATTGCTTTGATTTCATCTCTTGCTATTATCTCCCTTGCTCACTCTATGCTTGAGCAAGTGAAGTATGGTCTGGTTTAACACTTGCTTTTATCACTACCTGGAATGATTTTTCGTAGATGACTAACGCTCTTATCTACTTTGCTCAAAGTATTTTCTCAATGTTTCCTTCTCCTGAGGACTACCTGGCTTAAAATTGCAACACCTCCTTCTTTACTTTTTTCTACAACATTTATCACCTTCTAACATGTTTTATAATTTACTTAATCATTATGTTTATTCCCCCTCCCCTTGGCTGTTCTTCCCACCCTTCAAAGAATATAAAATGCCAGGGACAGAGATTTTTGTCTTGTTTCAGTACTCTTGTGTCCCAAGCACCTAGCACATAATAGATAAAGGATACTAGATGACTGTATGAATTTTCAACAACTGGGTCAAGTGAGATTGATCATTGGTTCATTATGATGGTTTGTGTTTATGTGGGGCAGGACTGGAAGTTGCTCTCTGTGAGGCATTGAGCAAGTGGTAAGTGAAGACCTAAGACATTACTGTATGCTACTGTAGACTTTATAGACACTGTACACTTAGGCAATACTAAATTTATAGAAAAGATTTTTCTTTAATAATAAATTAACCTTAGCTTACTGTAACTTTTAAGAAATTCTCTTATTTTTAGAATTTTTTATTTTTACTTATTTTGGATGCGTAATAGTACATATGTATGGGGTACATGTGATATTTTGAACCAGGCATACAATGTGTAATGACATCAAGGTAATTGGGATATCCATCACATCAAGCATTTATCATTTCTTTGTATTTGGAACATTCTAATTCCACACTTGGTTTTTTTGAAACATACATTAAATTATTGTTAACTCTAGTCTCCCTTTTGTGCCACCAAATACTAGATTTTATTCCTTTTAACTATAGTATTTTTACTTGATAAACTTAAAATTTTTAAAAACTCTTTGAAGCTTTTGTAGTAACACTTAGTTTAAACACAAATCCATTATACAGTTGTACAAAAAATTTTCTTTCTTTGTATTCTTATTCTATAAGTGTTTTTCTATTTTTAAGATTTGTTGTTTTTTACTTTTTAAACTTTTTTTGTTAAAAATGAAGATACAAACACACACATTAGACTAGGCCTACACCAGGTCAGGATCTTCAATATCATCATCTTCCTTGTCCACATCTTGTCCCACTTAAAGGTCTTAGAGGCAGTAACACACATGGAGCTTTCATCTCTTATAAAAACAATGCCTTCTTCTGGAATATTTCCTGAAGGATCTGACTGAGGCTGCTTTATGCTCACTTTTTTTTTTTTTTTTTTTTTTTTTTAATAATAGAGGCTAGTGCAGTGGCTCATTTTGGTAATCCTATTACTATGGGAGACTGAGGCAGTCAGGTCACTTGAGCCCCAGAGTTCAAGACCAGCCTGGGCAACATGATGAAATCCTGTCTCTACAAAAAATTAGAAAAAACATGAGCTGGATGTGGTGGCAATGTAGTCCCAGCTACTCGGGAGGCTAAGGTGGGAGGATTACCTGAGACTGGGAGGTTACAGGGAGCTGTGATCAAGCCACTCTACTCTAGCCTGGGCTCTGAAGGTGAGACCCAGTCTCGAAAAAAAAAAAAAAGTACGGTATATGAACCAGTAACATAGTTGCTTATGATCATTATCAAGTATTATGTACTCAAAACAAAGCTGGAGACATCATGTTGCCAGACTTCAAACTATACTATAAGACTACAGTGATCAAAACAGCCTGGTCCAAAAACAGACTCACAGGCCAGGGGAACAGAATAGAGAACACAGAAATAAAACCTGCACATCTACAACCATCTCATCTTCGACAAAGGCAGCACAAGTAAGCAGTGGGAAAGGCACTGTTGATTCACTAAGTGGTGCTTGGATAACTGTCTAGCCATATGCAGAAGATTGAAAATGGACCCGTGTCTCTTACCATATATGAAAATTAACTCAAGATAGATTAAAGATTTAAATGTAAGATCTCAAACTATAAAAATCCTTGAAGAAAACCTAGGAAATACCCTTTTTGACATAGGCTTTGGCAAATAATTTATGGCTAACTCCCCCAAAGCAATTGCAACAAAACCAAAAATTGACAAGTGGGAATAATTAAAGAGCTTCTGCAAAGCAAAAGAAATGACCAACAGATATATCCTGAGAGGGAACTGAAAAAAAAAAAATTAGAGTCGACAGGCTACAGAACAGGAGAAAATGCTTACAAACTATGCTTCTAGCAAAGATCTAATATCCAGAATCTACAGGGAACTTAACCAACAAACACTAAAAAATCCAATTAAGATTGGGAAAATAACATGAACAGACGCTTCTCAAAAGAAAACATAAAAGTGACCAACAAACATGACAAAGTGCTCAACATCACTAATCGTGAGATAAATGCAAATCAAAACCACGATGAGATACTCTCTCACGTCAGAATGGCAGTTATTCAAAAGTCAAACAATAGAAGTTGGTGAGACTGCAGAGACAAAGGAATGCTTACACACTGTTGGTGGGAATGCAAGCTAATCAGCCACTGTGGAAGGCAGTTGGGAGATTTCTCAAAGAACTTAAAATGGAACTACCATTCAACCCAGAAATCCCACTGCTGAATATATACCCAAAGGAAAATAAGTCAT